CGCACTGCGGCTGTCCCGCTGCGGGCGGCCTCCGAGGCTTTGCTCCGCATCTCCCTGGTCTGACCAGCAGACCAAGGAGACGGGGAGCAGCTTTTCTCGCCCCGGAGAACGTGGGCGGCGGGACCACAGCTCATCTGGGCGTCCCGCCGCTCCCGTCCTCCAGGGAGAGAAAAGCCCCGTTTGTAACTGCGGATCCGACATAAGTCGGATCCACGTAACTCGGGGACTGCCTGTAGTAGTACTGTCTTCTTTCTGTGCATATATGGCCTTTCTAATCCTCTGAGTACCATCTGCACAAATTGCCTGATCTTATATGATTACTGCAGCACTCAATAAATTAGCCAGATTTCCTTCAGTGCTTCTCTGCTTCCATCCAAAGCTTTTCTCTTCGTTTTTCCTTTGATGTGCTCTTGAAACAGAATCTTTTGAAAAATTTATCGAAAGATACTGTACCTGGCCTCCATCACACTTATCGGGATCTTCCCTGTATTTTCAAATATCCGAATGGCTTTTTCAACATCTTCAAGTGCCTGGCATTGGGGCTGGCTCACACAGAAGAAAAGGGGGAACAATATAATAAAGTCTTTAGCATAAAAGAGTAAGTAATTATTTTTCTTTCATGGTTAGTAATAGCAGTCTTATTTTCACAGCAGACAGATGAAAGGTGCAGCTGCGTAGCTGAAGCAGGCTGCTATTGAGAGTGACAGAGCAAGTATCCTGGGAAGGCTGCTCTATTTTCTGCATTTCATGCACTTTGGTTTTGGGATAGAGTTGAATTTGGCACTCATTAGGTATGTAAAATCCCATTTAATTGGCTAATTAGTTAAATGTGACATTTAACCAGTTAACCAATTAAGGGGGGGATGGTTGCTCCAGCCCAGCGCAGCCCAGACCAGCCCCTGCCTGTACCCCCAACTCTAGCCCACAGTGGAGGGGGCAGCTCTGAATGGCGGTCCCTGTGGGGCTGGAGCAGCCCCCTGCCCGTAGTGGGTGGGGAGCTGCTCCAGCCTCACTGGTTAACTAGAATAAGTAAAAGCGACAAGGAGTCCTGTGGCACCTTATAGACTAACAGATGTATTGGAGCATAAGCTTTCGTGGGCAAAGACCCACTTCGTCAGATGCATGTAGCGGAAATTTCCAGAGGCAGGTATAAATATGCAGGCAAGAATCAGGCTAGAGAGAATGAGGTCAATTCAGTCAGGGAGGACGTGGCCCACTTCTAGCAGCTGATGTGGAGGTGTAAACACCAAGAGAGGAGAAACTGCTTTTGTAGTTGGCTAGCCATTCACAGTCAAATTTGACACCATCATTTTAGGATAAAACAAAGACTGTGAATGGCTAACCAACTACAAAAGCAGTTTCTCCTCTCTTGGTGTTCACACCTCCACATCAGCTGCTAGAAGGGGGTCTTATCCTCCCTGACTGGATCCACCTCGTCATCTCTAGCCTGATTCTTGCCTGCATATTTATACCTGCCTCTGGAAATTTCCACGACATGCATCTGATGAAGTGGGTCTTTGCCACTAGTTGTTGCAACTTCATGTGACTAGCAATCTGCTGAGAGACACCCTATATTGCCATAACCTGCATTCTGTTTGGTTCTAGCCAATGGAATTATGTGAAAGGTTAACGGATAACATTATTCCAGTATCAGAGGGGTAGGCGTGTTAGTCTGGATATGCAAAGGCAACAAGGAGTCCTGTAGCACCTTCTAGACTTAACAGATGTATTGGAGCATAAGCTTTCGTGGGCAATCTCCCAATGTGCAAATATATCTAATACAGACGAGGAAGGGACTAGATGACCCTTTCACTTGGGATTTACAACAGAATTTGATCCTCCTGAGGTGAGCCAAGATACTCAGCTGCTGCATCACTGACAACAGCCCTGTTTCATGCACTTTTAAATTAAGTTTCTTTACTTATTTCATTTTACTTTCCGACGGTCTTTCCTATTGCATTACCAACTAATCCAACTTCAGAAAATACAGCATCCAGTGAGACTCAAAAAGATAAAGCCAAATATTCCTGTTGTGACTAGTATTATTATTCAAAATAAATCAAACGGGACAGTATAAAACTTTAGGACAGCCCTCACAATGGATTATTCACCTTTAATGTGAGTCATCTAGATTTAAGAACCAACAGATGCTACACACAATTAAAAAGTAGTCATTATTTACTGAACTGATACGTTACATAGTTTTTCATGTGGCCAATACTGCAGTGTAATTTTGTACTGAGAAGTGTCACCACAAGTAACAAAAAGTATAATTTACTGGAAGTCATTCTGAAAATCATCCCATACCTGCACAGCTTCCTTGGTTGACGATAAATCCTCATAGAGCCCCATGTCTTCTATAGCAACCTGTAAGGGTCACAAGGAAAATGTCAGAGAACAGCAGATATGCTGAGGGAGAAGGATTTCGCAGATGGGAGAGAATGCTGTTCACCAACCTTGAGATCAGCCAGCCGGGTTTTGGCCAGAGTGATATATTCCAAGAGAAAGGAACGGTATTTTGTGGGCACAAAAGGCGGGTGCATTATGTGGACCTAAAGAGTAAAATACAAAGCAAGGTTTACTATTTTGACAGCATACAAATGCCAACATCTGGTTCACCTCCTTACAGGTTGCCTAGTGCCAAAGCTCCTAGGAATGACAAGGCACTTGTGTTGCCTGCTTCAGAGCTCACAGGAAAGCCAATTATATGGCAAGAGAGATCTTTCCACATACGAAATTGCTATCAATTTTAATTTAGTTCCCTACTCTTTTTTTCCCATTATGTCAAAGCATTAAAAGAATGTTCACATCTGGTTCACCTCCTTACAGGTTGCCTAGTGCCAAAGCTCCTAGGAATGACAAGGCACTTGTGTTGCCTGCTTCAGAGCTCACAGGAAAGCCAATTATATGGCAAGAGAGATCTTTCCACATACGAAATTGCTATCAATTTTAATTTAGTTCCCTACTCTTTTTTTCCCATTATGTCAAAGCATTAAAAGAATGTTCTGCTA